CAAGTTGGACAACTCAGAAGATCTGGTAGAAGCTCCAAACCACCTGTTTGGATGAAAGACTATATTTGTCCACTCAATAGGGCATCTTCATCCAGTTGCATGTATCCAATGTCCAATTATCTGAGTTATAGTGCTTTATCAGCCACTTATCAATCCTACCTAGCAGCAACTTCACAGGAAACAGAACCTGCATCATACACAGAAGCCATGAAAGATCCAAGATGGGTTGAAGCAATGAAGGCAGAAGTGGATGCCCTGGTTATGAACAAAACTTGGGAGATAGTGGACATTCCTAAAGGGAAAGTACCTATTTGGTGCAGATGGGTATACAAAATCAAGTACAAATCTAATGGAGATGTTGAGAGATCTAAAGCTAGGCTTGTTGCCAAAGGATACAACCAACAAGAAGAGATAGACTATCAGGAGACTTTTTCTCCAGTAGTCAAGATGGTTACAGTGAGAGCTGTTGTTGCATTGGCTGCTATGCATCAGTGGCCATTATTTCAAATGGATGTCTACAATGCTTTCCTTCAGGGTGACCTTGAAGAAGAAGTTTACATGCAGTTACCACCTGGTGTTGGCAGCCAAGGGGGGAATTCTAAAGGTTGCAGATTGCTCAAATCTCTTTATGGACTCAAGCAAGCTTCAAGACAATGGAACTTGAAATTCACAGAGTCCCTCTTACAAGCAGGTTTCATTCAGAGCAAACATGACCATTCCTTGTTTATCAAAAAGGAAAATGGACAGCAGGTCATTATACTAGTATATGTTGATGACCTTCTCATCACTGAGAGTGACATCACAATGATTCAAGAAGCAAAACATCAATTACACATGGCTTTCAAAATCAAGGACTTGGGAAACTTGAAGTACTTTCTGGGCATTGAAGTCTGCAGGTCTGGAAAGGGAATCCTTCTATGTCAGAGAAAGTATGCCCTAGAACTTATAGCTGAAATGGGATTATCTGGTGCTAAACCTGCCATTACACCAATGGAGAATAATAAGAGGCTTACTACTGTTGAGTATGATAAG